TTAGGTGGAGAGATGAAAGACAGGCTTTATCTCAAACCTGGATGTACACCTGATTAAACATTGGTCCATCTTAGCACACGTCTTCACTCCCTATTTCTGTTCAGCTAGTCATAGAAGATAGATTTAGTTCTATTCAGATATGTTTCCTAGTTATATTTCTTTGTAACTTTAATTGAGTTAAAAAAGGAAGTTTACTTAAGTTTGGTTCCAGTTGTGGCTGTGTAGGCTCATTGCCCAGCAACCCCACATGACAGGCATAGTGACAGTAGAATGTTCCAGACTCTGAATTACTGCAGCCCCAGCACACAGGTCTGCTCACACAACACACAGGTCTCAGCCCTTGTCCCCAAGCAGGCCCCCAGCAGTGAACACCGGTCGACTCTTCTCTCCCTTGTTCCCTTTGCTTTTCTCACCAATCATGTGTTTTGAGCCATTGGCCTTTATCCTCTCTGTCCTCTTGGCTTTCCAACATTCTCAGTCCTGCTGTGGTCTCCAACGAGGATAGTGTCCTGTAGTCTGAGTGACAGCAGGGCCAGTCCCAGGTTGGGGGTGGGGGACAGGGGACGGGAACCTGGGGCATCCATCCATGTTGAGTTGTTCACCTTTCCTAGAGGTAGGGAATTGTCCCCTCTCCCCTAGGATCATGGTCACTTCTCCTTTGCAGGACGCCATCCTGTTCTACATCCCCCAGATCGTGCAGGCCCTCAGGTATGACAAGGTAAGGCTGTACCTACATGTGCTCTTGTTCTCTTCACTCTGAGAGCTACGCTGGGCTCTAGGGAGGGGGCTCTTGACGGTGAGGACACACTGCCCTGCCCTCAACGCCTAGCCTGGTGAACAGGCGTGTCTCCAGTCCAGGAGATCGTAGGCTATGCAGGGCCTCAGCAGCAGGGCCACTGACCTGTGACCACGGTCCCCAAGCTCCTCTCACACATACCCCTGGCCGTAGTTGCCATTGGTGTCCATTGCCAGGACGCCCCCAGTCACCCAGCTCACCCTGAGGCCCAGTCTCGCTCTGCAGAGTGAGCAGGTTCTACAAGCATTCCCAGCCACTTGCTCGGGTTGGGTAGCCTGGCCTGGGTTTCCTACTCATTGGATGGGGATCCTGAACCCGGCTCCTTCGTCTCTTCAGTGGGAAGTATTGAGAAGGAATAGGTGAGATGACGAATGTATTAGTTTGCTAATTGGGCTGCCATAGCAAAGTAATATGGCCTGGGGAAAGCAGGAGTTTTAAACACCAAAAATGTGTTTTCTCACAGTTCTGGAGGCTGGAAGTCTGAGACTGAGGTGTTGGTAGGGTTATTTCTTCTGAAGCCTCTCTCCTTGGTCTGTAGAAGGCCATCTTCTCCCTGTGTCTTCGTATGGTCATCCCTCTGTGTGTCTCTTTTCTTAAGGACACCAGTCAGATTGGATGAGGGCCCACCCTAATGAGCGTACATGTACATAAGACGCCTAGCACAGGGCTAGCACAGAAAACACTCATGGGGGTGGCCACAACCCAGAACCCACATTGCCCATGCCTCGGGGCAGCGCCACCTGCCATGCCTGTGTCTGAGTGCAGCAGCAGCATATGCCTCTTCCCCGACCTGCTGATCTTGTTCCCCACTGTCATGTGCCAGTCTTGTTTCCCTACTTCGTCCTGGCCGAGCCCTGTGGCACCAGCTTACCTCTAGGCTGCCTCCCACTACTCTAGTCTCCATAGCAGCTATGAGTGCTGTGGCTGGGTGTCCCAGGGTGGGCTTCTTCCCCACGGATTAGCAGGATGCTCCATCTCGGTCCATAGACCAAATTGCTTCTATCACAGCCAACCTCTCTTGGTAGACCAGGTCTTGCCCTAGGTAACTAGCTGCCAGAAGCCTTCTAACTCTGAGCAGGTGATTCCAATACCGTGTAGGACATTTGCCAAGCAGGGGCCTTTTCGTTAGTCCCAGCACTGTGTACTGTTATGATGCACCTCTCCTCCAGGTAGCTTCTCCCCCTTCTCTCCCTTCTGGTGTGTTTGCCTCCATATGGGCCTAGCAGAAAGGCCTAATCCAGAGGAGGGGGTAAGAGTGGGCACCAAGGGTTCCTACATGAGCGCATGGTGGCGGCCACCAGAGAACACTGCGTCCCAGGCAGGTGGTGTGCTCAGTCTCTGCCTAGCATGCTCAACAGGAACAGGACCAAGTAGGTTGCGGTTAGCGTGAGGCAGCTAGCACGTGGAGATGCAGAGGACTTTGGTTTGTTTTATTGGCTATTAATTTACATAAGTTGCTTTTCAAAAAATTTCTGATTTTTTCTGTGTTCCTTTTTTTCCTAGTTCTTAAAATAATAAGTTAGTTCATTAGCATTATTTAAAGATGACCAGTGAGTTTTTCTTTTTTTCCTCCCAAATATCATAAATTCATGGGTTTTGACATGTTTAATGTGCACCAGTCCACCTCAGTTATTTTTGAGGCCCATCTTTCTGACTACTGAGAACTCCTGATTGACCTTTATTTAGTCTTTGAAAACCTCCTTGCTTTCTAGAATAACAAAATATTCTAAGCTCTTCTTGTTCTTTTCCTGCCTCAGACGTGGAATCCCCAATTTTGTGAGGAAATCTGGTTCACTCTATGAGAAATGGTATCACGACACTGTACTCTGAATGCTAAGCCTGCTTATGGCGATCAGGTTGTGTTGTTTCTAGGCCTTTCCCGTAGATAGAGCTTTTTTTGGGAAAAAAAAAAAGGTACATCATGAGATTATACTATTTCTAATTCAAATGTAGGATTACAGTTTTTTACTTTATTTGACTTTATATTAGAACCTTTTAATACTAAACAATTTGGTTCTTAAACATCAACATACTACCTTTTTGCTTTATTCTACATATGTTTAATAGTTTCAAAATAACAATACCAATATTATAACTGACGATGATTATTGAAAATGGGGTCAGATTTTTTGCCTTTTTGTCCTTAGTAAATTTTCCATTAGGGACATACAGTCAGATGACTCTATTTTAAAGTCACATGAAGTGATTTTTCTCTGGGTGATTATACCAACTCAGGACTCAGCTAGTAGCATCATTAGTTTCTTTCTTGTTTTCCATTTTTAGGGGTTTTCTTTTTAAGTCTAAGCTTGAGGGGATACAAATGTGTATATGTATTTACTTATACTTTTTTAAAAAGAATAGTAAACCAAAACTAATAAAAATGGCCAGAGAGGGAGCAAACAGGATGGAAGTGACCACGCTTAGTATATTTTGACTTTGGAACTATGTCATTCTACGCGTAATTATATATGTATTTCAACCAAATTGGCTAGCAAGGCATATATCATAGGATTAAAAATTACACAGGAATAAATTGCTGAAATCTTTTTCAAAGCTGGAAGCCTCTGTGGTCCTAAGTGTCTGATGACAGTTCCTCCTTGTTCATTCTGTCCTGCCACAGTTTCTATTCTCGTAACAAGAGTTGGTTTGTTACTTTATGCGTCCCTTTTCATGGTCTTGACAAAAGTGATTATATTTCCGGTTTATGATAAAAGGATATTACTCAGGGACAGCCAGATGGACGAGATACATAGGACAAGGGGTCTGTGGAAAGGGATGTGGCGCCTCCATGCTCTCCAGGCGTGCTGCTCTCAGGCATTTCACGAACCTGAAAGCTCTGCAAACATATTTATATACACTACAAATTGAGTATTCATAGTTTATCTTTAGATCCTTTTGCTGGGTTAGAATTGGGAAACCCAAAGTGATGAGTTATTTGAAATTTGACCTGTTGGGTAAGCCCACCCACCTAAATCCAAGGAAGATTTTATCAGATGAGGGGCCACAAACTGTCACATCGAGGAAGAGGCTGCCTTTTTAATCTAGGACACAGTAATTAAAACTGGTGTTATGAGTGGCAGGAAATGACTAAGGGAAGAGAGGTCCTTTAGGATGGTGGCTGTGATATATCAACTCATGAAGTATCTGTGCATTAGATAGTTTTCTGGAACCCATACATCACTGTGGACCATTGTTCTTAACAGCCAGCTTACAGACGAGTTTTAGTTCCCAGCCTACTTATTCTTCGTACTTGGCAACAGCAGAAATTGGTGAGAGTCCTGGTTCTTTGAATCCAGGAGAAGCAACAGAGGAGACAAAGCTGACTCATCCCTGTATGGCAGACCCTAGCACCCCCAAAATTAGCCCTGGCCCCTAAGCTGGACTCACCACAGACACAGAAGAGTTTGCTCATGTGGCCGGAAACCACTCGGCCTCACTTCTTGCCAGGTCTGCAAGCTTTGGGAGTCAGCGCATGCTCTGGGTTAGAGAGAGTCCGTCTTCGGGGAGAGAGGCTCCCAGCCTGGGCTGATGGTGACCTTGCTCTTCTTCAGATGGGCTATGTGCGGGAGTATATTCTGTGGGCTGCAGCCAAATCCCAGCTTCTGGCACACCAGTTTATCTGGAACATGAAAACAAACATCTATCTGGATGAAGAGGGGCACCAGAAAGACTGTGAGTATTTTGTCATCTTCCCTCAAGGCTCACCCCACATCTTTAACACCTTCCGTGGCTGCCCAGAGGCTGAGCCTTCCTCATCCTACAGGGCCCTCCATGACCCATCTGCCCCAGCCTGTAGTTCCTTCTGCCTCCCATCCTTTGGCAGGAACACCTCACCTTTAAGATACAGCAGGAGCAGGACACCCCCTTCCCCAAGCTTTTGCTAGCCCATCCTCTGTCCACCCTGCCTGCCCCCTGCCCCTGTGGATCCTGTCCTGTAGCTCCCCAGGCACATACAGAACCCTCCTCCTCTGGCTGAACTCCCAAGCAGTTGTCCCTGTGCCTGACCCAGTGACCCCGTGTCGGAACAAGGTGGCCACCCGGGACAGTGCTTCTCAAACAGAGATGTCTTAATCATCCTCATGCCCTTAAAAACCACTGGGACCCTCTAAGAGCTTTGGTTTACGTGGACTTTAGCAGGCAGTATTAACTAACGTTAGTCAGCAGAGCCATGAGGCTCCTGTGACCACTAGTGTCCTCAGCCCCACTGCATGTTCATAGCCTCACAAGTGTCAACACTAAGGAAGGCAAACTTCGTGGTGTGACTTTAAATATGGGGTCTACTGAGAGGGTCCCGGGGATCCCCAGGGATAAGCAGACCATCTCTGAGGACTGGTCTAGGTGCCGGTGAATACCCAGACTCTGTGACGGGCAAACATGCAGGGTTCCTCCAGGGCCTTTCTGTGGCTCAGCCAAAGGCTCACCCTCTCGGTTTCCCTGTCAGCCGACATCGGTGATCTCCTGGAGCAGTTAGTGGAGGAAATCACAGGCTCCCTGTCGGGCCCAGCCAAGGACTTCTACCAGCGGGAATTTGATTTCTTTAACAAGATCACCAACGTGTCAGCCATCATCAAGTAAGCAGCACTCCCTCTGGTCCTAACTCGTGGGAATTGCCCGAGAAGTGCTAATGGAACAGCCAGGGTGGGATTCTGCTCTCTTGAAAGGAGGTTGGCCATACAACCTTCAGAAAACATCCTAGTTTTATTCTGGATATTGTCCTACAGTTTGCTCTCTCCAAGTTCCGAAGGAGCCTCGTAGTGGTGATAGGAAAACCAGACTCCTTTGCAGCTCCTGTCGTTTCACTGATTTGCCTCTTGAGGAGGAGTTTGGGCAGGAATTGCTGTGCTCCTGGAGGAATTGGGCCTAGCAAGGCCTCCAGGAGTCGCCAGAGCTAGGAAGAGAGAGACTCAGACAGGAGGGGGCCCTGGGCTGTCTCCCAGAAGTCTCGAAGGCCACTTTCTACAAGAGATAGAGCATTTCTGTCTTGTTTCTCAGACCCTACCCTAAAGGAGACGAGAGAAAGAAGGCTTGTCTGTCAGCTCTGTCTGAAGTGAAAGTACAGCCTGGTGAGTAGGTGGCCTCTGGAGACTAAGGAGAGGGACCTCTTCCTTCAGGCAGGCAGAGTGCAGGGGCTGGGGAGTGCGGGGTGGGCGTGAAGACCAGCAGTGGGGCTGGTTCGACTTGCACTTGGGTCCTAGGTGCCCAGTGCGCCCCTCCCCAGAATCTGCCACTGGTGAGCGGGAGCTGCTTCTCAGTGGGCACTCTTTATCTTCCTTGCTGCCTACTGTTTTCTAAAGACCGAGACACTGTCTTTAGCAGCTGTTTTTCTAGAAGGTTTCTGAACTCCAGTGTAACAGGAGCAATATAGGTCACACAGACAGTGGGCATGAGACGAGACTAGAGGCATCACAGGTGTGCTTGGGACCTGTTGGACAAGGGTGTCTGTGTCCCCCGGGTGGGCAGCTGCTCCCTGGTGCCTGCAGCTGTTAACCATGCAGGAATTTGAGCCCAGTGTGTACTTTTTCAAGTCAGGGTGGCAATCCAGGTTTCACTGCACAGCTCTCCATTTTTCAACATTGGTATAAACTTGTTTTTTCAAAATCTTGGTTGTCCTGTCCAAATGTTCACACCAGCTGGTCTTAGCAAGGTTGCCAGCGTGGGCCTCGGTTCAGACTTTTCCTTGACTTGTTTTGTTGAGCTTCCTACCCTGCCAGCTCAGTTTCTCAGAGAAGGCTTGACATCCACACGGAACTTCATTTCCCTTATCAGCGAGCCCCCAGCTCCCTGCAGACCATGTTGCTAGGGCCTGTCCTGGCGGCACTGGGGAGCCAGCCAGGGCTGTAGGGCAGAGGATTAGAGATTGCATCTGTGAGAGAGGCTGGAGCTGGGGGGTAAAGGAGGGTGAGAGGGAGGGGAGAGGACCATGTGGTCCTGCCTTGCCTCTTCTTCCCCCAGTAGGACAGCCAGTTTGCAGCCCACAGCAAGGCCTCACTTTGCCCCTCAAGAGATTCAGTCCTTCCTGTTTCAGGGCTACACCTTGAAGCCCACATCTCCCACTTCCCAGGGGCTCAGGGAGTCCACTCCGCCAGAGCAACTGCCAGTTCCTTGGCCAAGAATGGGCTTTCTCTTGTCCTCCTACTTGATACATGTGCTGAAAGTGGGGAGCTCCAGTCAGTGGGCTGAGTCCAAGAGCAGAGGGTGTTTGGGTGAGCAGAGCAGGGTAGGAAGCTCCTGCATGGGTCCCGTGAGAGTGGGTGGCTCTGCTCTGGCACTGGGCGGCCATGGGGGCCCCAGGAGCAGCATGATGGGCCTGTAAGCTGAGGGTTCAGTGCATCGTCTTAGAGAAGCGTCTCCTGGGAGGTGGTAGCCCCTTCAGTAGACATCAGGAAGGATCCAGGGAGAGATCACAGAATCAAGAAAGAAAGACTTCTTAGCTGTGAAATAAGAAGTCATCAGTACCACAGATGAGGACCTAGAAGGCCCCCATACGTCATCCTGTCCACAGGGTGGACTCTATAAGGGGAATTAGGTATTGAAGGTAGCTGTTCTCACCATTGTCATCCTTGGGCTCCCTGTGACTTGCCTTCTGTCCCTGCATAGGCTGCTACCTGCCGAGCAATCCAGAGGCCATTGTGCTGGACATTGACTACAAATCGGGGACGCCCATGCAGAGGTAAGAGGCTGCCCTTCCCTTGGCTACTCCTGTGTGGGCTTCCTGTTCGCCATATCACTTGTGCTACTTTCTTTCTGTTGTTGTTTTTCAGTGCTGCAAAAGCTCCATATCTGGCTAAATTTAAGGTGAAACGATGTGGTGTTAGTGAACTCGAGAAAGAAGGTCAGTGGAGAATTCTCGATGTAGTTTCTCTAAGTGTCTCTCCTTCCTGAATCCAGTTTCTCTTGGCATATTTAGTTTGTTACCAGCTCCCCATGAGGGTTGATGGCCATCCATCCACTCTCGGTGTGACACCTCATTTGGGGACAGCACAGAGCTCATGTGCAGTGACAGACCAGTGAAGTTTGGCCACCAAGTCAGTCCAGTAGGCATCTTCTCAAGACAGAGTGGCCAGGGCTTTGTGGGGTGTACTCATTTGCTCAAGCTGCCATGGAAGTGACCACAGACTAGGTGGCTTCAATAACAGAAATTTATTCTCATAATTCTAGAGGCCAGACGTGTGACATCAGGGTGTCACCAGGGTCGTGCTCCCTGCAAGGGCTCTAGTGAACGAACCTCAGGGTGCAGATGGACACAATTCCTGCCCCCAGCTTACAGTGCCCATTGGTGACCCCAGGCACACCTGGGTCCTCACTTCCAATGAAAAGGGGACCTGGCTTCAGTTCCATTTAAGTCTAAATATTCTTAGGAAAAGCCCTAAGACCTTATGACTCTACCCACTGATCCTAGACATTTTCTGGGCCCTCAGTGGCTTCAGAGTTTCCCAAGAACAATCCCCAAGTTTCCTTGGGCTCCTTCCAGGCTGGGTCTCCTCAGCACCCTCAGAGGGCCTCTCACTGCCCTCAGGCTGACAGGCAGCCTCCACCCACCACACACAGGTCTGCGGTGCCACTCGGATTCCGAGGACCAGTGCGGCACACAGGAGGCTGATGACCAGAAGATTTCCTGGCAGGCGGCCATCTTCAAAGTGGGAGATGACTGCCGACAGGTAGGGGACCAGGTTGGGGTTGGGCTGGTGGCGGTGGGCCTGCCTCTCCAAGGCTCTGGGCGAGCCTCGCTGCCGAACCTCACACACAGAAATACGAAGCTTTGCTTCTGCCATGGGGTTCAGGTCCACAGAGTAAGTAAGTCAGGGCTTTCTGCCAAACCCAGAAGTCTCTCCTCTCCAGGACTATGCACCCGCTAGCCACACAGAAGGAGCTGCCGTGGAGTGGGTGCCCCTTACTCGAACCCTGCACCGGGCAGGCTAAAATTAAATGGCTTTATGCTCACTCCAGTACCTGGTGGTCCCAAGGGTCTGGGCTCAGCCCAGTGGGCAGTGTCAGTCCAGGCCCTTCAGGCTTTTGCTCGCCTAGGCCTCCCTCCCTTCTCCCTCCGTCCCCTGCTGGGCAGGGCCCCTGGGGGTCATGTGAGCAGGAGGAAGCCAGCCACTCACCCTTCATCTTCTCGGTTCTCAGGACATGCTGGCCCTGCAGATCATTGACCTCTTCAAAAACATCTTCCAGCTGGTCGGCCTGGACCTCTTTGTCTTCCCCTACCGTGTGGTGGCCACTGCCCCCGGGGTAAGTTCCCCACAGGACCCCAGGTGGCTGCCCCTCAGGCCTTGGCCGAGAGCAGTCAGCCCACAGGCCTTGCACTTGGACTTCCTCTTAGTGCGGGGTGATTGAGTGCATCCCTGACTGCACCTCTCGGGACCAGCTGGGCCGCCAGACAGACTTCGGCATGTACGACTACTTCACACGACAGTATGGAGATGAGTCCACCCTGGCCTTCCAGCAGGTGACCAGCAGAGCGGGCCCTAGGCTGGACTTGTTTGTGCTCTCTGTTTTTCCCCCCTGCACCCTGCTTCCTGATTTCCTACATTTGAGGAGTAAAACCAAGGCACCCCGTAACCTTCCTTGGTATTTAAAGAAACCTCAACATGGATGTCCCAAGAGAATTCATGGGTGTGGGGGGAAGGGGCTGCCGCCCCTTCACAGGAATCCCAGGCATAGAGCCAGGGGAGCACCCACAGGCGCGGCCCCAGGGCCGTCATAAGCACTGGCTCTCTCTGCACAGGCGCGCTACAACTTCATCCGCAGCATGGCCGCCTACAGCCTCCTGCTGTTCCTGCTGCAGATCAAGGACAGGCACAACGGCAACATCATGCTGGACAAGAAGGGCCACATCATCCACATCGGTCAGCCAGCCCAGCGCCCTCCTCT